TATCATCTTGAATGAAAAGAAACTCTGCGATTCTCTTCCTTTTACCTATTATTATTCTAGAGATTATTATCTTCAGCTACGATTTACCCCTTCATCTTCGATTGATTTGTTCAAAAAGATCTTAACATCTTTTGAGTCAAACATTGTTAATTCTTAAAATTTCGAAGTTATCCCATGCACTGTCCATTGCTAGAATTGAGGGTGTGTTTGGTATGAAAGAAATTTCGAAAAATATTTTCTGAAAAAAACAATTTTAGAAGAATTTGTCTCATTATTCAACAATCTCTATAACTTGAAACTATTTCAACTGGACTATTGGAGAGAAACATAAGGGAAGAAAAGTCATTTTTCCTCTTTAATAAAAGAAATTTCAAAGAAAATAATTTTTGTGTTTGATTGCAAAAAGAAAAAAAAAGACTTATTTTTGTGAAAATCATTATCCTTCGTTCTAAATGAATGGCGGAGTTACAAGTCTAAATACGAGTTCGACATAGTAGTTTTCGCTCACACCTTGTATTATTAAAAAACATTACTTAATATGTATAAATAATCTATCACGAACCCAGTAACTTATCCATTTTTAGATTTCAAAATTCATATACTCAAAAACCTAGCTGAATAGTATTTCCTCCGTTCCAGTTTATGTGAACCTATTTTCTTTTTTGTTCGTTCCTAAAAGAATGATCCATTTTTAAATTTGAAAACAATTTAGCTTAAGTTTTAAATTCTACCTTTAATGAAAAGCTTTTATAACCACACAAATACTTTAGACCCATTTTTGACTTGTTTAGGACCACAAATTCCAAAAGTCTTCATTTTTTTCTTAAATTTCGTGTCCATTCAAACATGTTCACATAAATTGGAACGAATGGAGTACAAACCTTCTACTACTCTTATTTTGGAAAAGGAGAAGAGAAGGAAAGTACGAAACTAGCATTATACTTGAATTACAACAACAACGATCCGGTATAATTGAACTAGGGGTACTTGATACTACCTAACCCACTAGTGGAATGGGTGAAATTCCACTAGTGGGTTAGGTAGTATCAAGTACCCCTAGTTCAATTATACTAGAACTGTTGAGACAAAATGTACCTATGAATCGATGTCACAAACTGGGGTACCTAGTATCAAGTACCAGCCAACCTCCAAGCTCCCAACCTTCTGATAGGAATCCTCATATCACGTACCTACAATTTGCTAATTAAATTGCATTGAATGCTGTAAGGCGGAAAGCCAAAGACAGATGAAGTAATTTAATTGTTATAGGTGATGTGTTGCTTTTCTCATTCTTTTACTCTATTCTTAATTACTAAAATATTCGAATATTATTCACTTATAAATAGTGCTTCATTATTTATCCATTCTTTCCATCTCAACTTTGCTTTAACTTGTTAGTAGTCGAACTGTCCTTTTAAATTCATCAGAATTCTCTATCTTCTTTCTTTAATTTGCGTAAGTTCAACCATGGAGTTGAAGCTCCTTCACGTCCTCACTTACCTTTCGGTGAGTACAATGTTATTTTTGCTTGATTTATAGTACGTTAGTTATTCTAAAGAAGCTATATAATTAAGGTTTGATATTTATTTTTTTGGGTTAATATTTCAGTTGGCACTAGTGGCAAGTTATGCAGCTCTTCCTCCTGCATCGAGCGGTCAAACTTATTGGAATACTAAGCTGCCTAATACGCCCATCCCAAAGGCAATCAAAGATTCTCTGCAGCCAACTGGTTAGTCTATTAATACTTGGAGTTAGTTTTTATTTTTCGCAGCTCCATTTAGTGTTAAAAAAGTTTCTTAGTACAAATGCTTAAGTAGTTGAATTTCAATGGTTTAATATTTTCGCTTTCAGTAAGTAGTCTGCAAGTTAATATGATCATAGTATGAATTTAGATAAAATAAAATTGGATTAAATTACTTAGATGTTTCTTCTTTTAAAAAAATATATATGTGGTGTTTTTGAAATATGAGTATAACCTTTATACACTGTCCTGTTGCTTATCCATCTTTTCACGTCACCAACTTATTTTTGTTACAAAACCTGTAATTACATTTTCAATATTTATGCATCAAGAGATCTAAAAGCTAATCTTAAGAAAATTAAAACCATAAACCAAATTTTGATATAAATCTTACATATACATAGGGTATTAGAAGTTTTATACCGTGTAAAGATCTTTTGAACTATCAATATATAGAGTTTAACATGTAGTAACAAGTTAGTTAGTAACCAATTTTCAAGTTATAAGTTGCTTATGATCAGAAAATGGGTAATAATAAACTCTAAACGTATTAATCACCATAAGACTGAAATTATTGGCAAAAAATATAAATTTCCCAGGATTGACGGAGGACAAAAGCACTTCAGTGGAAGTAGGCAAAGGCGGAGTAAACGTCAACACCGGCAAGGGGCACTCCGGCAGCGGCACTAACGTCAACGTTGGCCACAAAGGTGTCGGCGTAAGCACTGGCAAGGGTCACTCCGGCAGGGGAGCCAACGTCAACGTCGGCCACAAAGGCGTGGGCGTAAGCACCGGGGGCGGAACCCACGTTGGCGTCGGCAAAGGAGGAGTCGGCGTGACCACTCCCGGCCACCACGGAAGGCCGCCGGTGTACGTCGGTGTACGTCCCGGACCGTCACCTTTTGTTTACAATTACGCCGCCAAAGATGATCAACTTCACGACAACCCAAACGTCGCTCTTTTTTTCCTTGAGAAAGACTTGCACCAAGGTAGTAACATGAACTTGCAGTTTGTGAAAACTACAAAAAATGCCGCCACTTTCTTGCCTCGCCAAGTAGCAAATTCTATTCCCTTTTCGTCAAACAAGATGCCAGAAATTCTTAGCCAGTTTTCAGTTAAGCCCGACTCTGAAGAAGCTCAGATCTTGAAGCAAACTGTCCAAGAATGTGAAGAGCCAGGTATTGTTAATTAGATGGATATTACTGATTGTGTAAGTGTATTATACTATTTGGGAAATCTACAAAGTTGTTCTTTCATCATGTTTTCTTAAATATTTTGAATTATGACTTAATAATGAGTAGTACTTTTTATTAGTTTCTGAAATTATAATTTTTTTTAAAAAAAATGGAAGAATCTATATTCAAATTAAATACTTTGACCTTCCTACTCCCAACTATGTCAACCTTTTTAAATGGAGGGAGTATGTATGAAGTAGGAATTGTCCCACGTTAGAAGTTGAAAATGAGTTCGAAGGCTTTATATACTACTACTACAGACTTGATATTTTCAGGTTTATTTAAAACTTGAAATTAAATACAAAATGTAAATTTAAGTTGTTACATTTATACGAACAAGTATATTTACAAAATAAGATAGGCTGCTTTGAATAGCTCCATCTTTCAATTCTATATACAAATATGTCACTTGTTTGAAAAATGGCTAAGCAATTCTTATAAGGACATTTTATTTTCGAACTACAGGTATTAAAGGAGAAGAGAAGTACTGTGCTACTTCATTAGAATCCATGGTTGATTTCAGCACATCAAAGTTAGGAAACAAAGTACAACCAGTATCAACAGAGACAGAGAAGGAAACACAAATGCAGAAATACACAATTCTAGGAGCCAAGAAAATGGGAAATGGGAAATCTGATGCTGTAGTTTGCCACAAGCAGAATTATGCATATGCAGTTTTCTACTGTCATAAAACAGAAACAACGGAGTCATACATGGTTTCTTTGGTTGGTGCTGATGGAACAAAGGCTAAAGCAGTAGCTGTTTGCCATAAGGATACTTCAGCTTGGAATCCAAAACATTTGGCTTTTAAAGTTCTTAAGGTTACACCTGGATCTGTTCCTGTTTGCCATTTCCTTCCTGAGGATCACATTGTTTGGGTTCCTAAGAACTAGCTTTATACATAGATGATGTTAGTTTTATTATCTTTTTATTTGTGTTGTTTTTATGTAATAATTCAGAGTATGTTGTGCTTATTATTACAGTTTTATCTTGTAATACTTCAGTATACGAATAAATAATTTCAGCATATATTTTTATATTTCCACACTTACAAGTTCTGCTTTAATTTTTTTTGTTTTTGGGAGGAATCGGGCAATTGAATGCTAGAGGGCTTATAAAATCATGTCATTAAAGGCTAATTTTTTTTTTCTTTCTAAATTAGTGACATTGAAACTCAGAACTCAAATTTTTTTACTATCTTGATCTATAGGAATTGTCTCATCCACCCAAAAAAAAATAAAAGAGAGAGAGAATTAATTGTCTCATATTTTAACAACTTAAACAGTTGGGGACAAATTGTTTTTCTTTGTTTCATACCTCCATAACGCTTGCATAATTTGAAACATTATTTGATTAATGGTCTATTTGTAAACCATTGGCATTCACATCAACACCAGCTCCAAAATCTGGACGCAAGGTGCATAAGTATAGTATAGGTACAACCGACCGCATCTACTCAATAAGTATCCTAATAGAAATGGTAGTGTAATAGCATAATAGGAGATATAGTAGCTCATGCTGGTGGACCAATTCCTTAATGGTGCTTTAATAAGCCTATTAGGAAAAGCATGATGTGAGTGCTAACAACTAAATTAAAAGCCTTTTAATTTTCTTTATGATAAAGATACTTTTTGTCAATGTAAATGTGGACCGAGCTTAATAATGGGAGATTTTAATACTACTTTATCTAGTGAGGATAGAGTGCAGGGGAATGCAGTACAAGAGATGGAGGTGAGAAATTTCAAAGACTTCATAATGGATGCTGGACTAGATGAACTCAGCACTATGGGTAGAAAGTTCACCTAGACAAACAACCATGTTCATAGTAGAATTGATATAATTCTAGTAAGTACAGAGTGGATTCAAAAATGGCCTGCCATGGAGGGGATTATAATGAACCCTGGGTTTTCTGATCACTGCCCTTTGAGCATAATCTTTGATGACACTAATCAAGCAGGAAGGTGATCTTTCAAGTTTATAAACTATTTGGCAAATCATAATAACTTTGATACCACAGTTAAGCAATGTTGGACAAAGAGGCAAAGAGGCAAAAAGGAAATGCAATTTTAAAGGTATGGAATAAGCTCAAAATGCTAAAGGGAGATCTGAAGCAGCTAAATAGTCAAGAATTTAGCAACATTGAGCACAAGATTCAAGCAGCAAAAACTAAACTGGAAGGTATACAGGCTCAAATGCTAGGCTCAGGAACTGGCAATGAGACAATAGCACAAGAAAAGGCTGCAAAACTTGAATTGGCTAAATGGCTAGAGGTGGAGGAGAGTGTATTGAAGCAGAAATCAAGAATCAAATGGATCAAATTAGGGGATTCAAACACATCATACTTCCATACATGTGTGAAGAATAGGCAAGCAACAAATCATTTTGGCAGACTAGTCAACAATACAGGGCAAATACTCCAGAGTACAAATGAAGTGGAAGAGGAATTACTGAACTTCTACATGAAGTTACTTGGCACAGCAGCTTCACAATTACCAGCGGTCGACACAGAAATCATGCAGAAAGGTTGTATGTTGAGTAGGCAACAACAACTACGGCTAATCAAGCCAGTCACAAGAGAGGAAGTAAAGAAATCAATACTGGACATTCATGATAGCAAAGCACTGGGATGTGATGGATTTAATTCATTTTTCTTTAAGAAGACATGGCATATTCTGGGTGATGAGGTTATTGAAGCAGTGATGGAGTTCTTTTAAAAGTGCAGAAATATGTAAAGCAATCAATTGCACCACCATTATCCCGATTACTAAAGTAAAGAACCCAACTAGCATAAAGGAGTTTAGGCCTATATCTTGTTGCACTGTGCTATACAAGATAATATCAAATATTCTAACAACAAGATTGCAGGGAGCTATGCCAGACCTAATTGGCAACTGCCAAATAGCTTTTGTGCCAGGAAGAATGATCACAGATAACATCATTATGAGTCATGAATTGGTTAAAGGCTACGGGAGGAAGAACATATCACCAAGGTGTATGCTTAAAATCGATATGCAAAAAGTTTATGATTCTGTGGAATGGGTATATATTGAGCAGGTGATAAAATTTCTAGGATACCCTAAAAAATTTGTGAAGTGGATAATGGTATGTATTAGCACAGTTGCTTATTCTGTTATAATCAATGGCAAGCCAACCAAGCCATTTGAGGCAAGAAAAGGACTTAGACAGGGGGGGCCTTTATCACCCCTGCTATTTGTGATGGCCATGGAGTATCTTTGCAGATTACTGAAGCCACTGAAGGAGAACAAGGAGTTCAAATTTCACCCAAAAATGTGCTAAAGTCAACATAGTACAATTGGGATTTGCTGATGACTTACTACTATTCTGTAAAGGAGACATACAATCAGTCAAGATCCTGCACAAACAGTTTCAAACTTTCTCTGCAGCATCAGAGCTAATTGCAAATCCATATAAAAGTTACATCCACTTTGGAGGAGTGGACAACATGACACATCAACATATTATGGACATGTTAGGATACACTAAAGGAGAACTACCTTTCAGGTATCTAGGAGTCTCTTTGAGCACAAAGAGGTTGATAGCTATGCAATGTGAACCCCTAATTGATAGAATGCTGAGCAGGATGTTGGACAACAAAGTTTTTGTTATATGCAGGTAGAGCAATGCTAATCAAGAGTGTACTAGTGGCAATTCAGACATTCTGTACTTAAATATTTATTATGTCAAAAAAAATCATACAGTTCATAGAAACAATATGCAGGAGATTCTTATGGTCGGGGAGTGTTGAACCTACCAAGAAAGCATTGATTGCCTGGGATAAATTGTGTGCTCCAAAGGTAGTACGAGGCTTAAACTTCATCAATATGAAATTGTGAAACAAAACAGCTATATGCAAGCTCTTATGGAATATTGCACAACGAAGGAAAAGTTATGGGTCCAGTGGATGCATGCTTGCTACATAAAGGGGATACTATATAGAACACAGAACCAAAGAGTGCATTGTGGGTTATACAAAAAAATTTCAAGGCAAAAAGACATTTTGAGGATGTTGGATATAAAGAAGAGGAGGTGACCAAGATAGAGAAGTTCTCTGTGAAGCACATGTACAAAGCAGTGCAAGAGGAATTTCAGAAGGTGTCATAGAGGAAATTAGTTTTCAATAACTATGGGCTTCCAAAATGGATATTCATACTAAGGTTGGCAATACAAGATAGGTTAGCTACAAAAGAAAGGCTAGCAAGATGGGGGATCATAGAAGACAAAACATGCTCACTTTGTCAAAGAGAAAATGAAACTATACAACATTTGTTCTTTGAGTGTGAAATGCCAGCAACTATATGACAGAATCTTTTATACTGGCAAGGCATTAAGAGAACAAAGAAAGATTGGCAGAAAGAACTAAAATAGATAGAAAGGGTGGCTAAAGGGAAAAGTGCAGGAGCAACACTATGCAAAATGGTACTAGCAGTAGCAGTTCATCATATTTGGCAAGCAAGGAATAATGTCATCTTTCAGAAGAAGAAGAGTACTACAAATGCTATTATTAGATTGATCATTCAAGAAATACATATTAGAGCCAAGATGTTTTCGAGGTTAGATAGATGCTTGAATGTCCTGAATTGGTACCCACATAAAGTCTAGGTTGAAATGGCAGTAGGAGAGGAATGTAGTAAGGATAGATATGTCCTAGCTGGGGCTTCATGTCCAGCAGGAGCTTTGATAAAAAGTCTTAAATTTTGATAGAGTGTAAATACTTATACTTGGTAAATAAAATATTTAATTACCAAAAAAAAATGTAGGCCACATTTTTCACTAATTAAGCAAACAACATAACAAATAATATAGTTAGGGTCGTTTGGTGCTGGTTAGAGTTATGCTAAGTATAATTTCTTTCATATGTTCCCCAGCGAGTTTTCCTCCATACTTTTTATTCACTAATCGCAGATAAATTTGAACTAAACTACATTTATTTATGGTTGTTGATTTCTCTCTTTGGTGCTAATCTATAAATGGATTGACATCCACAGTATTCACTATGTCCTGTGTCTCAATCAAAGCTAGGAGGCAATATATAAAGCTAGTTATTGTTGCGGAAGCCAAATGTATATAGTGTGAATAAGTCACAACTACTATACCAAAAATTATGACAGCCACCAAATAATAAATAAGACAATAAAGCAACAATAAAGGGAACACCAGAATTTACGAGGTTCGGCTAATTTTGCCTACTCCTCGGACACAACCAATATTTTATTTCACTCCAAAAATACAAGTGAAATAATACTAAAGATAGAAGATACAAATGTCTTAAACAAATGAGAAGGCAAATGAGAGGTGTGTTTAAATCCTAAACATTAGGCTTTCTTTTATAGGGGGAA